TTTCTTTACCTCCTTCATTATTTTCCTGGAGGATAAATTCCTAGTGAAACCAGCTGTCTTGATTCTCAATTCACACTCTTTAGACCGTGCCGTGCTGTGCACCTCCTGAGGATAGGAACTGGCTAACAAACCACTTGATTATGAAAAGGCAGAAAACAAGAAAGCAGACTAGGAGAGCCAACACTCTGAAAAGAGCTGTGATCCCCAAGTCAATGAAAAGTCAGGGGAGGCTGTAGTTCATTCTGATTTTTAAAACTCGTAGTGCTCTCCTCTGCACGGCTGACACCTAGTCTGATCACTGTCACCTTAGAATCTGCAGCCTCCTTGACACCCACACCCTGACCCCCACCATCTGCTGACAATGGCTGTCCATGGGAACCTGAACCAGTCCTTAAGACGTTAGTCCCAAGACAAATCTATACATCGGCAAATGAGTGGCAAAGAGGCAACTTTGTAGTGACATTAGGGCAGAGTCATGTCGGCAGCTCCTTTCTGGAAGGAGGTTTGCCTGCGAATGATTGTTGATTTTATAATCTCAGCAAGACTTCCATTTGCATGGATAACAGGGTTACCCAGGTAGGCAGCCATCGATTTTCCTAAAACGCTCCTTCTAAATCCAGCTTACATTTCATCTCTCTCAGGAAGTCCTCATGACCTGAAGTTATCCAGCTTTTCCAGCCTGAGCTATACCAATCTGTGCCATTCGGAGTACAAGAAGAACTGGGATCTGTCTTTTACACCGATTCAGCAAACATGTACTGAGTACCCATGTATGCCACGCTCTGTGTTAAACGTAAGGAAGAGAAAAGGAAAGCAAGATATTTCCATGCCCCACAATTTTCAATAATGTGTAACTTCTACAGATTTCACTTACTCCTTAAACAAAACAAAAAGCCCTGCCCATTCACTATCTGCAGTGCGTTCTCTTGTAATTTGACTCTTTTAATTTGACTGTAAACTGTTCTCCCATCTCCTATCTGTGCTTTTTATTCTTCTTATTGAAATTAAGCATACTGTTTGTATATATTGGAAAACACCCAACTGCAAACAGAAGAGACCGCGTAAAAATGAGTTAATCATCAGGTCACGTGTCTAGAGAAACTTCTGTACTTAAAGCAAGAGAATGTTTCCTTTGATTCAGAAGAAAACCCACACCCGGTGACTGCAGTCATTCTCCATCAATGGATGCTGCATTGAAATCTGTTTACATCTCTCTGTCTTGAGAGTCTGTCAGCTACTTGACAGCAAGGACCCTGTTTATTAATTAAGGTCTTCATCTCAAGTCTGTTGAAGTATATCTTTACTGGTCTTTAAGATGCAATAAACAGGAGAACACACCACTGATTTAATAACAGCTTTACATGGGAAGAGAAAAAGAGGGCCTACATCTATAAACAATTATTATAAAACACATCCTGATTTCAAGAAAGTTAAATTTTAAAAGTATGCCCCAGAATGGAGGAAATCCTGTCATTGTCTTTGACTGGACTTCTGGTCTCGAAAACAAGGTGGACTCTTGCCTCTATTAAGTCAATGGACAAAAATTCTTTAGTGTTGGTTGTATTGACTCAACTCATCCTCGTCTTCCTCCAGTGCTTTTTCTGAGACCGCTGATAACTTCCAAAGATTTGTCTGTTATTGTTTTCTGGGATTTCCATTTCCTCGTATGGAACCCTCCTCTGAATTCTTTGCTGGCTTTTCCAGCCTCCTGCTGTCCTCAGGGTCCTGCCTCTGAGGCTCTGTGGTCCTTCACTCACCTTGTCCTCTGTGTGGGCGCCCCGGCCCCCCAGGCTCCTCCCCTTCCTCTCTCGGTCCTCATGAGTGGTGCTCAGCCCTGGCTAATCATCAGAATCAAGGGCTTGGAGAGCCCTTGGAAAAGGTCCAAGCCCAGGTCCCAACCCAGACCCACAGCGTCAGTCAAGCTGGACCGATATATCAGCTCTGTGTGTTCATGCACCTTAGCCTCCGAGGCTCAATTCCTTCACCTGCACAATTACGCTATGCTGAAATCTACTGCATCCCATCGCCGAGTACGTTCTTGCTCCCCATCGTCACAGCAAACATCATCTCCTTTCTCTTTATTTAAAGCCTGCATGTCTTTGAAAGCTCAGCTCAAATCCTTCCCTTCTCACAGACTCCATCATCACAATTTATTCTGGATTGCTTACAAAGCACACTGAAAACTCAAGAGGGACCTGTTGACAACGAAACTGTCTCCTGGCTCAGCTTCCTACAACTGTCTTGTCACTTTTCAATTGTTTTCTCCACACAGCACTCCAACATTCCAAGGGATCTTTTTAAAGAAATTGGATTACGTTGCTTTCTATTTTAAATCTTCCAATGAATTCTCTTTGTTCTCAGGTTAAAATTCAAACCTTCTAACCTGGCCACAAGGTTCTACAAAATCTGACCTTCATCTTGCTCTCCCCTCCCATTGCCACCCTGGTCCTAACCAGATACATTCTTTCCATCCTCTGAGTCCTGTTCAGGCCGTTCCCTGGGCCAGGAATGATCTTATATTCACCTTCCCAAGCCAACTTAATAATTACTTCTTGGGTGAACACTTCTCTGACCTTCAGTCCAGGTCGATGTCCCTGGTAAAACCACCTCTTTCCATCCCATAAACACTCCTTGTAATGAAATGTTTTATCATGAACTGGACGGAATAGGGCAGGATATTAACTTTAATATACCACTATATTGTTTTATTTGTTGCCATAAGCATGCATTATATCTGTCATTTAAAACAATTATTTAAAAGCATGAAAGACAGTATGACATACTTGTTCAATGTCTCTCCCCTTCCCTAGAATACAAATTCCAAGAAGGGCATATACCGGGCTTGTCTTGTTCAGCGCTGTGGCTGCAGGATCTAGCAGTGCTTTGAACACAGGAGGCGCTAGATTTATAGAGTGAATGCAGTTGACTGAGAGGACAGAACATGAAAACGGTCGGGGAGGCTAAGCACGAAACTTGCCCAGGATGGAGATGGCCCTCGGTCCAGCTGAGAGAACGCAAGCAGGTGGGCACACCTGGGCCTGTCAGAGTCAGCATTCTCTTCCAGAGCCTCTCCCCAGCCTGAAGGTGGGGCCTGGAAGGCTTTCAAGCAGCAGCTGTGCTTAGTCTCGAGAGGGCAGCGTTCAGGTTACTGGCACCTGACTAGTTAGAAACAGGACCCGAGCCAGAGGCTGTGGGCAAATCTGATTTTTAACTTTATATTTAAATTTTTTATATTTAAAAATTTGTAACTTTTCTAGTTATACTTTTCTAATTGTATTTAATTTTTTAAACTTTTCTACTTATAATTTTCTAATTACATTTAAATTTTTAAAACTTTTCTAATTATAATTATCTTCATTAGGAATTTAGTACTCACCATATGCAGCTTGGTTTCATAATTTTGATCTATATATTTATCTACAATTTCCCAACTGAATCCACAATTCCCTCGGTACAAGATATTTCTCATAAACATTTTGCATCCTCACGACTTGGTACAATCCATGTCATATTCCCTACAAGTGAATGCAGCCAACATTCTTTCATCCAAGGAAAATGCTCAAAGTGTCAATATTCCTCAGATTCTTTCCAACAAGTTTTTTATGTTTAAATAAGTCGAGCAGATGTTCACACTTGTCTCACCAATGCTTATTGAAGTTACTGTGATTTTCAGTGGCCTTTCATTATTTTTGTTGTTTTTGCTTAGAAATATTTGATAGGGTATTTGTAAATAGGTGCTTGCAATGTTATTTGAACAAATGAAGTGGAATATTTAAATGAGAACATGTGCTTTGCATGCAATAATTGTAACTATTTCTCCATGGCTTTAAACATAGGACATGCTTTGTAAGTTGTAGGAATTGTGCAATGATATCTTTTGTTGTCCTGGATCGTATCGTAGTAACTAATAGACATTTGACATGGGGTTTATGGTCTTGTCTCTTTTCGGTGCAGCTTATGTTGTGGTGATATAGCAGAAACAGACTAAAAGCCACTAATTTTGTCCATGCTAATAACGGGAATCTTCAATGATTAAAAAGGAGGTGAAGTCGGCTCCAGAAACCCTGACCTGCAAAAGTCTAAGGAGAACAAAGACATTATTGAATCTGCAGTCTTTAAGAGCAATGCTGATTGATCCCTTTCTTAGAAATCTGAATTATACGTTCCATCTAGATGACACGCCTAGGTTTTGCTTTTCCCGTAATTGAACATACCTTGCACTAGGCATGTTTAATTTAGGTTACCAGCTGCTTTAAGAGAGTGTCAATTCAAGCCATGCTGTGACTTCAGTAGGGCTACGTTTATTAACCAGCATGACCCGTTATGATGGTTTCTAGGCCAACAGCATGAAATGAGGGTTTTTTAATTTTTATTTTTTTATTTACTTTTCAAATTATTTATTTGTGGCTGCGTTGGGTCTTTGTTGCTGCACATGGGCTTTCTTTAGTTGTGGTGAGCAGATGCTACTCTTCGTTGCGGCGCGTGGGCTTCTTGTTGTGGAGCATGGGCTCTAGGTGCTCAAGTTTCAGTAGTTGTGGCGCGTGGGCTCAGTAGTTATGGTACATGGGCTTAGTTGCTCTGTGGCATGTGGGATCTTCCCAGATCAGGGCTCGAACCCATGTTCCCTGCATTGGCAGGCGGATTCTTAACCACTGTGCCAACAGGGAAGTCCCATAAGGGTTTTTTTTAACCAAAAAAATTATATTCTTGTTCTTCCACAAAAAGATTTATATAGTAAAGCTACCGGACCTGTCCAGTGGCTGTTCTTAACAGGCTGGTTCCTTTTTCTCCACTGTGCTCTCACCAGGCTTGCCCCACCTCTTTCCTCCCCTTAATGAAAACCTAGTAGATAGTGAACATTTTGTTTATGAGGAATAAAAATTCATAATTATACAAAGAAACCTATAGGACATAAAAAGTTTTAAGATATTAACCCTGTTCCTAATTTAGGAAGGAAACACATTAATCAATTGATGTAAAATGTATTAATATGTGCTTACCATGGGTTCTGGTATCTGTGGCTTAGTTTCTCAACAGCAGCTTGACTGAACTCTTCATACTGTAAAAGGAAGAACATGAATTAAGTCCCCTGATTCCAATGTCACTGGGCACAAACATGTCTGAGAGTCTGGGTTCCTGGTCAAAAAGGAGGTCAGGTTGAGCAATTAAACAGGAAATGCTAAGTTCAGTTGAAAGAAGATGGTCTTTTGATTTTTGAACTGAGAGGAAAAGGCATAAGAGGTAAAATAACTCTGAGCCTCTGTGCTTTCCTTTCCCTGTCAAAGGACAGGTGCTGGGTCCCAAGAAGAGTGTGTCATCCCCAATCTCTAAGCTCCTAATGATTCTGTGTCTACACCAGCAGGCATGCAAAACCACAATTTAGCATTTAGATTCAAACAGCTCAGCTCTTTCCACTTCACCTCGCCCTCACAGAATTAGGAAACGTGGTGGCTAGAGCACAGGAAAGAGCCGGGTGACAGACAGCCTGTGGTGCAGTCTAGCTCTGAATGCTCCCTTCAGAAAGCATCACAGAACATCGATCAAATACTTGGTTGTTCAGAACTAGTTCTCACATGAAAACATATCCCCGTGCCCTTCCCTGTGCATAGAAATTCTCTCTCATAACTGAATAGATGACTATAAACTGGCCTCTTTTCCCCAGGAACCGTCAATGGAGGACACATTTTATGCATAAACATGGGAAATGGGGGTGTCAAATTTATACTGTAAAGGGTTTGGGGCCTTAATCAATTCTCGATTTTCCATACTAGGGTTGGGAAACAGTGATAAGGATTATCGAAAGTACTTCACTTCAGTTTTGTCTATTTTTAAAAAATTAATTAATTAATTTATTTTTGGCTGTGTTGGGTCTTCGTTTCTGTGCGAGGGCTCTCTCTAGTTGCGGCAAGCGGGGGCCACTCTTCCTCGCGGTGCGCGGGCCTCTCACTATCGCGGCCTCTTGTTGCGCAGCACAGGCTCCAGACCCGCAGGCTCAGTAGTTGTGCCTCACGGGCCTAGTTGCTCCGCGGCATGTGGGATCCTCCCAGACCAGGGCTCGAACCCGCGTCCCCTGCATTAGCAGGCAGATTCTCAACCACTGTGCCACCAGGGAAGCCCTCCACTTCAGTTTTGGAATGCATTTTTACATTGATGCAGGATGCTATATTCGTAACATCAAAAAGTAGCAAACTCAAATGAGGCAACTGACAAGGGATAAATTTCCAAAATATACAAACAGCTCATATAGCTGAATATCAAAAAAACAACCAACCCAATAGAAAAATGGGCAGAAGACCTAAATAAACATTTATCCAAAGAAGACATACAGATGGCCAACAGGCACATGAAAAGATGCTCAAAATCACTAATTATTAGAGAAATACAAATCAAAACTACAATGAGGTATCACCTCACACCAGTCAGAATGGCCATTATTAAAAAGTCTACAAATAACGATTGCTGGAGAGGGTGTGGAGAAAAGGGAACCTCCTGCACTGCTGGTGGGAATGTAAATTGATACAGCCACTAGGGAGAACAGTATGGAGGTTCCTTAAAAAACTGAAAATAGAGTTACCACATGACCCAGCAATCCCACTCCTGGGCATATATCTGGAGAAAAACATAATTCGAAAAGATAAATGCACCCCAGTGTTCATAGCAGCACTATTCACAGTAGCCAAGACATGGAAACCCCCTAAGTGACCACTGACAGATGATAAAGAAGATGTGGTATATATATACAAAGGAATAGTACTCAACCATAATGAAATAATGCCATTTGCAGCAATAAGGATGGACCTAGAGATGATCATACTAAGTGAAGTAAGCCAGACAGAGAAAGACAAATGTCATATGCTATCACTTACATGTGGAATCTGAAAAAAAAAAAAAAGATTGTTTTCAACTAGCGAAAATAATCATAACTTGAAATTGGATATTCCCTATTAAGCAACCTTTAAATAAGTCTAGGTATTAATTTAAAGGGATATGTCTGGTAATTACATTCAGGTACTGTGAATGTGACACAATTTCTGAAATGAGCTGTTAAATTTGAGTTAAATTAATCACAGACATTGGGGCCCATTCTAGTTAACAATGAAAATCATTGCTTAAAAATGTCATTTTTAATCCCAAATCACCTCTAGTCTAGAACTCCCATCACTGAGGAATCCTCTTGCTTTCTTGCTGTACTTAGCTCAGGAAGTTTTCCCTAATATATCCAATTTGACCTTCCTTACTAGAAAGGACCGTTTTCCATCTCTGTAACGATGAGGTCTTTCTCGCCAGCAGAATGAGTACAATGGCAATGCGTTTCAAGAATGTGTGGACACTAGAGTTTCTCTTCGCCATCCTCCTCCTTTGTAACATAGAGCTCTTAGTACCAAACATTGGAGTGGAAAAATCCCCTAAGGCTACCTTTTCTTATGCTAATGTAATTTTTTCTTCACTTGCTTCCATTTGCAAAATATTACTGTTAACCGCTTAGGTGTCTTTCTTCCCACAGCCAGTGAGAAGCATTCTCATTGCTGGCGTTGGGTCACCAAATTGCATAATGCTGCCCATTCTAGACTGGAACTATTGAAGGGAGAAAGGGGGGCTTCAAGCCTTTGTGTACATGGCGCATTTGAAGCATTCATTTTATATTCAGAGTAGGAGTAGAAACAAAACAGTTCTCTCTGAAAAATGTCAGTGCTCAAGGCATGGATTCTGTGATGCATTTTTCTCACTAAAAAACAAAAATTGAACAAGGCAGAGGCTCATACTTCATTTTATGCCACGTTATATGCGAGCTTGAGTTGAGTACCAACGTGAATTATACCCTGGTCTCCCTTTTTTTTTTTTTTTTTACTGCACTGTTTATTTAATTTGAATTAGTACGTCAACTTTCAGCAAACAGACTAAACATTAAGTTTCATGAGTTCCTTGACTCTGGCCCCAGTATGTGTTTTCTGTGGAGTATCCAGATAATGAGAAACATATTCCATTATGTTTCTAATGTGCTTATCATAACATAATTTAAAAATCCAGGACTTCCGTGGTGGCACAGTGGTTAAGAATCCGCCTGCCAATGCAGGGGACACAGGTACAAGCCCTGGTCCGGGAAGATCCCACATGCCGCGGAGCAACAAAGCCCGTGCGCCACACCTGCTGAGCCTGGGCTCTAGAGCTTGTGAGCCACAACTACTGAGCCCGCATGCTGCAACTACTGAAGCCCACGTGCCTAGAGCCTGTGCTCCGCAACGAGAAGCCACCAATGAGAAGCCTATGCACCGCAGTGAAGAGTCCCCCCACTCACTGCAACTAGAGAGAAAGCCCGTGTGCAGCAACGAAGACCCAACGCAGCCAAAAAATAAAAAAACAATAAAGTGAGCTAAAAAAAATCCATTAGGCAAGAAAATACAGTATATAGAGACATTAATAATACTAGATCCCATTTCTTGAGACTGTACTAGAGTCTGTACTAGATACTAGGCTAAGCGCTTTACACACATCTCACCTAATCCATTTAACAACACTCTAAGTTATTGTTATTATCCCTGTGGAAGACAGAATTCTAAAGACCCCCCAAGATTCTCACTCCTTGGTATATACACCTTCTCCCAGATATTCAACCAAATACTAGGTACTGCTGTAAAGGGATTTTGCAGATGTAATTAAGATCCCAAATCAATTGCCTGTAAGAAAGGGAGATTATCCTCAGCCCAAACTTCATCAGGTGAGCTCTTGAAAGGATCTGGGCTCTTCCAGGCAAAGGGGATTTGAAGCATGAGAGGGATTTGGACGTGAGGGAGAACGTCTGTTGCTGGCTTTAAAGATGGAGGGCACCACAGCTATGGTATGTGGGCAGATTCTCAAGGCTGAGACTGGTCCCTGGCTGACAGCCAGCAGAGAGATGGGACCTCAGTCCTACAACCACAAGGAACTGAAAGCTGCCACAACCCCATGAACTCGGAAGAGCCTCCAAGCCTCAGGTGAGATCACAGCCACAGCCAACACCTTGCATCCAGCCTAGTGAGTGCTGAGCAGAGAACCCAGCCAGGCCTTCCCGGGACTTCTGACCTGTAGAACTGTGAGCAAATAAATGGTGTTGCTTTAAGATGCTATGTGGTTATGCTCAACAGAAAACTAATGCAATGCCCGTTTTATAGGTGTAAAAACTGAGACATTATAAAGAATAGTAGGCAGACTAGCATGCAAAGAAAGAAAAGAGGGAAGATGAAAATTTCTTCAACTGGCTACTTCTGCATATTCAGTTTTTCATTAAGGCATAGATTTGCCCTGAAAAGCACTATGAATCCTCGCTGCCTCATCTACTCTCAGAGAGAAGGCACGTTTCTATTATTTTTTCTGCACTTCCCCAGAGAGATTCATGTTTTCCTTATTCACGTGATAATTCAAGATACACTAGAATTTTATTTTAAAGCAAGACTAGAAGCTATTCTGTTGGGAATTGTTAGGATATGTGATGAGTAACCAATCATTCTGCTACCAGCCCTTTATCCAGAGTTAGCAGAAGGTCCCTAGCAGGGTCTGAAATACGAGTAGATTCAACTATTCAAGCTACAGAAAAGCGACATGGGAGCTTCCCGAGTCTCTGCTTGTGCCCAGTACACAGTTTCTGAAATATAATCAAGTGCCTGCTTGGTGACCGTTCTTACCCTTGGAGTTTCCTAATGTGTTGGCACTGTTGTTAATTCAAAGGTTAGGGAGAGTGTTCCAAGTTAACTGTCCAATTAGCTCTACAACACAGAATTACACTGGGGGTGGTAGCTCAGGCATTGTGAACATAACAGTATAACTAAGTTTCAGTAAAAAAAAAAATATAGGTTAAGTAGTTCTCAAATGACTATTGAATAAGCTAGGAGGAAAATAATTCTCAATCTCACACACGCTTAAAAGCTCATCTCCTCCCCCTTCTGCAACTTGGTCTCTTAACAAAGACTCTGAATGAGAAAAGAATGGGATTTCAGTCTCCGTCTCCCATCATTTCTTGATGATCATGTACCCTGTGCTAAGCACTGCACGGAGGGTGTGGATGCTGTCAGTATAAAGCCAAAT